AATTACTAATAAGGAGATTGAATGAGTAATCAAAAATCTCCCAACAAAGAAAAGCTCAGTCTTCACTGGCGGATTCTACCAAACACTTAAAGATTTAATACCAATCCTTCTCAAATTCTTCCAAAAAATAGAAGAGGAAGGAACACTTTCAAACTCATTTTTTGAGGCCAGTATTATGCTGATACCAAAGCCAGACAAGGACACTATAAGAAAGTTATAGACTAATATCCCTGGTGAGCACAGATTCAAAAATTCTCCACAAAATATTAGCAAACCAAATGCAGGAGCACATTAAACAGATCAGACACCATGGTCACGTGAGAATTTATTCCCAGGATGCAAGAATAGTTGAACATTTGCAAATCAATGTGATAACCACATTAACAATATGAAGGATAAAAATCATATAATTATCTCAATAGATGTAGAAAAGTCATTTGACAAAACTCAACATCTTTTCATGATAAAAACTCTCAACCAACAAACTCTCAAACAAACTCTCAACTATAGTGGGAATGTACCTTGATATAATAAAGGCCGTATATGACAAACCTGCAGCTAACATCACACTCAATGGTGCAAAACTGAAAGTTTTTCTTCTAAGATCAAGAAGAAGACACGGATGCCCACGCTCACCCTTTTCTTCAGCATAGTACTGGAGGTCCTAGCCAGAGAAGTTAGGCAAGAGAAAGAAAGAAAAGGCTACAAATTTAAAAAGATAATGAAAGTTCTGTACATTGAAACTTATAGAATGCAGTTAAAGTTGTGTTTAGACAAAAAATGTATAGCACTAAATGCATATATTAGAAAAGAAGAAAGACCAAATATCAAGGAGCCAAGCATCCAACTCAAGAAATTAGAAAAAGAACAGCAAATCACAACCAAATAAATTCAAATGAAGGAAACGATAAAGATGAATGAAATAGAAAGCAAACATATGATAGTAGCGATCAAAGACAAAAAGGTAATTCTTTGAAAATACTAATAAAATTGATAAAGTGCTAGGGAGGTTGATAGAGACAGAGGGAGAGAAGCCATAAATATGTGATGAAGGACTGAAAAGGAGCTAACTACAGATCTGACAGATATTAAGGAGCTGTTTAGTAAATATCCTAACTTATGACAATCAACTTGAAAATTTTCATGATTTAGACACCTTTCTAGATGAATACAACTTACCAAAATGGACAGAAAATTGACTTTAAATGATTAAAAAATTGAATCTGTAATTTAAAAATTTCCTTCAAAGAAAACTCTGTAGACTCAGATGACTTTACTGGTGAATGCCACCAACTTCTTAAAGAAGAAATCATGCCAATAGTACACAAACTCCCCAGAGAATACAAAGAAAAAGAGGTAAATCTCCCCGATTCATTTTCAAGGGCTTTCTTGGCAAAAGCTAATAAGGTCACTTCAAAATAGGAAAATTTGACTCACTTATTCATGATCATTGATGCAGAAATTCCCCACCCTGGCCAAGTAGCACTTTGATTCCAACAACAAATATGTAACAAGTAATGCATCACCACTGAGTTGTATTTACTCCAGAACACAAGGCTGGTTTACCTTTTGAAAATTAATAAATGTAATTAACTACATTAACCATTAATAGAAAAAAATGAGTCAAACAGTGGAATCATTTTAACAGGCCACAGAAAATATTTTTTAAAATGCAGCATCAATTCATGATTTCTTTTTTTTTAAGATTTTATTTATTTATTTATTTGAGAGAGAAAGAAAAAGAGAGAGAACACATGAGAAGCGGGAGGGTCAGAGGGAGAAGCAGACTCCCTGCCGAGCAGGGAGCCCAACACCGGACTCGATCCAGGGACTCCAGGATCATGACCTGAGCCGAAGGCAGTCGCTTAACCAACTGAGCCACCCAGGCACCCCTGATTTCTTTTTTTTAATAAAGATTTTATTTATTTGTCAGAGAGAGAGAACACAAGCAGGCAGAGCAGGCAGAATAAGAAGCAGGCTCCCCACTGATCAAGGAGCCCGATGTAGGATTTGATTCCAGGACCCTGGGATCATGACCTGAGCTGAAGGCAGATGCTTAACCCACTGAGCCACCCAGGCATCCCCAATTCATGATTTCAATAAACAAACAATAAGAGCTATAAAGTTAACAAACTAAGAGCAGAAAGGAAATTTCTTAATTTAATAAAATGTCTACAAAGAATCCTTAGTTTTGAAACCAGGAATAAGACAAGGGTGCCCATCATTACTGCTTCTACTCAATATTGTATTTAAAGTTCCACCTGATAAGTTAAGGTGTCAGGATTGCAGAGAGGGGAAAAAACAGCTATCATTCACATGATGATATTGTTGAATTATTGTGTACATAGGAAATAATAAGACTACAGAAAAATTATTAGACTGAATAGATTAGTTTAATCAGACATCTAGAGAAAAAAGAGTCTAACATGATATGCAAGATCTCTACACAGAATGATGTGGAAATTAATATAAATAAAGGGAAATCTAAATAAACAGAGGGAAAAAGCATGTTCAGGTATAGGAGACTCAATGTTGTTGAAATACTAGTTCTCCCCAATTGATCTATATATCCAAAGCTATTCCTGTCAAAGTGCTAACATGTTTTTTTTTTTCTGTGCATGTGTTTGTGTGTAACCTGACAAGTTGATTCCAAAATATTACTGAAAAACAAAGGGCTAGGAATAGAAGATTTCCTTTTTTTAACAGTTTGTATTTATTTACATAATCTCTACACCCAACTCACGACCCCGAGATCAAGGGTTGCATGCTCTTCCAACTGAGCCAGCCAGGTGACCCGAAGATTATCTTAAAGAAGAGCAAGCTGGGCGTAACTTGTTCTACCAGCCATCAGAGTCTTTTCTAAAGCAACAGTAGTTGAAGTGTGGAACTGACCCCAAGGCTAGACAAATAGACCAATGGAAATGACAGGGTCACCAAAGAAAAAGACTTGGGCTAGGGCCAAAACAGACACCTTATCCTGGCCAGTGGTGTGGTAGCTTTCCCCAGTCAGGGACTCTCCAAAGTACTTCACACCAGTTCATCCTCAGGCTGTCTTGGGGTGGGGTGGGCCATTGGAATTTTCCCCTAGATAATTCTAATCTGCAGATATTTGGTGAAAACCACATCCCCTAACACACACATACACACACACACACACACACACACACACACACACACACACCCCTCTGTCTCCTAAACTTTGATGAGCAGTGCAGTTTTTTATTTGAAGCTCATTAGGAGGCTGGAGAATGCAATTACATCATATTCCAAAACTTTCTGAAATCCCATTTAGATATTTCTGTCTTTCCCCAAATTTCTGTTCACTTTAGTTGCTGCCCCTTCCTTTCCCTTTCTCCTCTAGCCAAGTTCTTGATTTCTTCCTGTACTCCTGTCATTTTTTTGTTTTATTTTGCAGAACAATTTCCCCCTTCCCTCAGTTTCCCTCTCCTCCATCTTGCTTAGCAAACAACAAGTCCTTTTGAGGACCCGCTCTTATAAAGGGGAGAGAAAGATTGAAAGTACTTCTCATTTAATATTTTCCCCTGCCATGTACAGCTGGGCATGGCTTGAATTGTCTTCCTTTGTGCGTATTTTCAATATTATCAGGAAAAAAAAGACTTTTTCATTTTGGAATGAACTCAAGTGCAGGGGGCTTGCCTGGTGCAAACCGAATGGGTGCAGCACTGTGCTCTAGATGCACTGCTCAGCCAGCCCTTGTGACAGGCCCCAAGGAACCAGCATTCACTCACCCTGTTAGTGAAAATGTGCCCCAGAGCATAAAAGTATCTCAGCAGCCCCAGGTTTGTGAACGTGTGACCCAGGCAGTCACCCAAGGGCCCCACACTTAGAAGTGTCCTGTGCTTGTCATTATTTGAAATCCTTACTAATTTATGCAAAAGGGGCTCAACATTCTCATTTTGCTCTAGGCTCTGCAAATGATGTGGTCAGCCCTGTGCTGAGGGAAGGGGTTTATAGTCTTGCTTGATTTTACAACAACAAAAAAGAAAAACTACTGGGCTGAGTGCTTTGTGAAATACTTTCTCTGGTTTCTCAGAAACCATTTCCTCTTTTCAGTTCTCAGTTGTCCCCCTGGGTTTGGCAGCTGCTGTTCACTTGCTGCTTTACTGAATCTATGATGTTCGTTTCCTGCCCCCTTAAAATGTTTTCACAACGGCAAAACAGGGTTTTTCACCACCTGGCTCCAATCTCTTGCCCTGTCCTTGGCTCCTTTTCCCTTCTCCCTTCATTCTGCTTCTGCTCCCACCTGAACATGACCCACTGACTACTACAACCGCCCCCCCACTCCCCACCGCCCAGCCCAAGGCAGGGCTTTGACCACATAGAGCCTTCTCCGGCATTGGAACCCAACATGCTTCTTGCCTCTGCACTCTGTCACGTACTTTTCATCTGCCTGGAATGCTCTTCCATCACTACCACCTGTCCTGCTTGGCTCTCTCTTTCAGACCCAACCTAAATGTTCTTTTCTCTATTAAGCCCTTTAAGAGTGCCTCAGGCAGAAGTCATCACCCACTTGCTCTTGCTCAGATAGCTTTGAAGACACGCCTCTGTCGTAGCAGGTGACACGGAATGGCATACAGAGGTTGTTTTTCTTTTTCGTCCTCTCCCACCCACCTTATTCTGGAAAAGTCCATTCATGACTTGGAACACAAGTCAGTCATTCTTTCTAGAAAGATCTTCCTGAGTACCTGCACTTCTCTCATCATAACACTACTCACATTATAACATAATCGGTACCCCTCCTCAAGTGAGACCATGTCTGTTTCACTTAGTGTGGTAACCTGAGTGCCTAGCATAGTTTTGAGCACAAAACTGGCTCAATAAATATTTGTTCAATTCAAGAATGAGTAAGTGAATGAAGATATATGTGCATTATCGCCTAGACTGTGGGCTTTGTAACTTTAAAAATAATTCTCCCTCTCTCTCCTCTATTTCTTAACCCACTGATTGGCATGTATTAACTATTCAATAATGTTTGTTAGGTAAATAAATATCTGAAAGGACTTATGTGATCATGGAACCTGAGCCCAAGGCCTAGGCTTGGGTAAGTATCCCCAGTGACTTCATCCTTGACTTGGGGTTGTATTTGTTAGAGGAGGATGACAGCACAGGGATCTGGGCTGATGCTCACTCGGGACCAAGAGGAAGAATCTCCCTTTATGTTGTAATAAACCTCATATTGTTGTCTAGAGAGTGACAGAAAGTAATGTTAAATTCATAAAAATGTAACTGTGTGCTAAGTATACAGATGCTTATTATAATAAGCATCACAGGAGTGTTGGGGGTTTGGAAAAATGCTGGAAACCATCCCTTGAAAGAGCTGCTCTCTTTATTCAAGGGTGGGCCTGACCCTTAGACTCATAGCTTTAATCAGGGCTCCTTCCTGTCCTCACTGTACCCTCCTCCTATGATCTTGGGCTCCCATTTGCTACCTCCCAATGTGCAACTTCTTTCTTGAGATCCAGCAGGGAGGTATCTTTCTTTTGAGGAGTTTCCTGCTGTCTGCCCCCCCACCCCCATCTTGTGGCGTGCATTTTCCTTCTTGTGGCTAGCTCAAGTTCTTTTTTTAAAACTCCCTTCTGACAAGGAACCAGCTATCAGTTGGAAGAAGGTGAGGTTTCTCTCATTTCCCTATCCACGTGTTCCTTTTAAGAGACTGGCTCTCCTTCTCTGTACAGTATTCCCGATTGGACGGGGAATTCCCTCTTCCAAAGGTGTCAATGAAATTAATTGAGGCCATACGTCCCAATATATGGAGCACCCAGGGAAGGAATTCAGTGAAACTGAGCTCTGAGGACTTACTGCAAGTTAGTAATGTGCTATATACAGTTACAGGGAAATCAGTTTGGGATTCATAAATATAAGGAAGAATGTTGTTCTGGAATAGGACGCCTTTCACCAGAGTGAGCTACCTATCATTAGAAATGCCTATATGTGGGGCGCCTGGGTGGCTCAGTTGGTTAAGTGGCTGCCTTCGGCTCAGGTCATGATCCCAGGGTCCTGGGATCGAGCGCCGCGTCAGGCTCCCTGCTCAGCGGGGAGCCTGCTTCTCCCTCTCCCTCTGCCTGCCTCTCTGCCTACTTGTGCTCTCTCTCTCTGTGTCAAATAAATAAAATCTTAAAAAAAAAAAAAAAAAGAAAGAAAAAAGAAAAAAGAAATGCTCATGTGTAGGCTGAACATACCAGGGCTGATCTGGAAGTCATTCCTGCATGGGGTAGAAGGTTAGCTAGAGAGAGCCTCTATGGTTTCTTCCAAATTTCAAGCTTCTGCAATTTTATTAGAGGGTTTTAACCCTGTAATGTAGTTTATATTTCAAAATACTGTACTTAATTAGTTGTTTTCCTAGACTCCTTCTGAAGTAAATCAGCTTCATACAGTGGTAATTAGTTTATTGGTAGAAACAATGACTGAGTCTGAAGCATGCATATTTTTATGTATGTGGCAAGGACACAAGAAAGGCTGACTATTATTATTCCTGCACTATTTTCCAGAAATGAGATTTTCTAATATCCCTCTGAAGATGTAACTGTAACTTAACCAAGTAAATAAATAACATGAAAATAAATAATTATTAATATGGAATATTAAAAAAATGCTGAAGCCAAATTAATCAGTCTTCAGACAATCAAGCATAGTTTCATATAACTGGAGTGAACCCTGATGATTCTGGCGTGAGTATACTTAGGAAAGCAAACGTAGCCTTCTCCAAATCACAGTTGGGCCTCTCGCAGTGCTGCCTCTGCTGGAGCATGTAGGCTGGGACTGCTGGAAGACCTGACTGTATGTTGCAGTGTGTCAGGCACACGGGAGGGACCATGACTTCTCTATCCGTTAGCTATAAGAATCAAAACATGACTACAGTGGCTCAGCCAAATAGAGTTTTACTTTGTCCCCAAAAGTCCAGAGACAGGTAGGTGGTTTGAAGATGGTATAGTTGTGTGAAAAAAACCATCAAGGATGTAGCCTCCTTTTAACTTCAGTTCTGTAAACTCTACTCTGTGGTCTTTGCCCTTAAGGTCCAAGATGGATGCTCCACCTCAGGCCTTCAAATAACATTCTGGACAAGAAGAAGGAAGTGACCTAGAGGAAGAGATGATGCCTATTTCAGGAAAGCAAAGCTTCCCAAGAAATTCCAGAACTTGAACTATGTCTCATTGGCCCAAGCTGTGCAATATGCTCAGTTCTTGCTATAATAGAGCAAGTTGGGCTTACTAATTCCCCAAACAAAACTTAGGTTTTGTTCATAAATAAGAGGAGGATGCATATTGGGTAGGCAACCAGCAGTGACTGCCATAACTTGTCGGTCTCCTGATGAGGTAGACTCTGCTTTTTTTTCTTCTTTTCTGGATGGAGGACCTTCACTGTAGACTTTGAGCTACAGGAGATACCACTACCTGAAAGACCTTGTGAGGATCTTACACTGCTGCCCTTTGCCCACATCAGTATTTAATCCATCAACACATAATTTGAAACTTCTCTGTCTTCAGGCTTTGAGCCATAGTTGGTCCATTTGCAACTCCAGTGTCCTTCAGGGGCTTCATGGGGACCATCAGCTCCAGGCTTGAATACTTTCTGGTGCTATAGAGAAAAGAGTCTGACACCTTTAGTCATGTTATGACTTCTTTCTCACATTTCCCCCCAGACCTAAGCCATGTCTCTTCCTCTTGGGCACTCTGGTCTTGCTGTCTGTGAACACTTAACAGAATAGCAAGCACTCTTGTTTGGAACAGACCAACACCTTGATATTTGTTTAAGCCAAGGAGGAGGTCCTACCTTTAAACAAAAAAAGATTTATGGCTCTCCTGACGTACTCCAGGGATTCCTGTCTGGCAGTGCTCAGGAGGAGCAACTGAAAACAGAATTCTAACATTTTAGAACTGTCAGAGACAAAAACCAACAAAGACAAAGAATGGCCAACTCAGCCCTCTCGTGTTGCAAAGGAAGACACTGAGACTTGGGAGAGTGTGTGTCTTTCTCCAGCTGTGGCATGGCAGAACTCAGGTCAAAAACTAGGGGAAGGAAGATTACATGGAGAGAGGTAGAGGGCTCTCTTTCACCTTCTGAGTGGGTGTGTATTACATTCATTATTTAAGCACCTGCAGGCATAGGAACACTCCAGTGCTATGGACAATTAAGGCAAAAGTTACAGGAGGTGGTGTGGTATTGTGGCTGCTAAATCTAATCCCCGATCTGCCATGCTTTGGTTTGTGATGCTTATCTGTTCCTTAAGTTTACCCATCTATAAAACAAAAACAATGGTTACACCCCGTGTGGTTTTAGGAGGAGTAAATGGAGTTGCCACTTAGAACAGTACCCGGTGATAATATGGAAATATTATAATATAGAAATGTTTGCTATCATTACGATTAGTTGTCTCCTGTGCTCAACAGATTAATAGTCTTTGACTCTTGCAGGGATGGCCAGTGCACATCTTGAAGAAGCATGACAAAGAGCCAGTGGGGATATTAAGTTTTAAGTCAGGACGGTTGGTTCTTGTTAGCAGCACCAAGGGATTCTCGAATCACAAATAATGGGATTATCCCCCAAGTAGGTCACCATGGCACGAAATACATGATCTGTGATAAGGAATACTTCTCTGATCTACTTTTATGACTAGCCTATGCCTTTTCTTGCCAGTATTTTCGTTTTCGGTAGATATGCCTGCTTTGTTTCTTTTCTTTTTTAAAATGTAGTGAGCTTCACACACTAGTCTTTTGTACCAGCTATATAAGGAGCAGCTAACACCAAAGACACATGCATGGAATTCTTCTACCAAATCAACTTTTTTTTTTAAAGCACTCTTTAATTGGACAATACTTTAATTCTCTAAACAATGTTATGGTAGTTGACCACATTTTGAAATTATCTTTGTCTTGTTTGGTACTTGAATGGCATGAAAAATTTCCCTCTGCTTCCTTACCCCTCTCCCAAGGGGTCATTTTCCCCGCTCTTTTCTCTGCCCTGCCTGGCCTCTGACCCTGCCCAACTCTGCTGTTTCCATGGGCTTCTGAATCTAATTAATGTCTCAGTGGCTATATAAGTGAATTATGTAGGCAGGAGGATGTTGGAAAGTTTGAGGAAGGTACGTACATTCCTTAGGGAAAACCTGGTTTTGTACAAAGGAAAAAAAAGGAATGCACTTGGAGGAGGTAGAATGTCAGTAAAGTGTAAAACACCAGTAGCATGCTTACACTCATTAAGTATCTCTTGCCTGATGAGCAGATGCAACCTTAGGAGCATCTCTTGTGACATCTGGGCAATAATCAGGCATGAAAGAATCTGGCTGAGGGGATAGATAATCCAAATATGCCACCATTGCAACACAACTGCTGCACAACTAGGCTATCAGCACTCCTTCCCCTCCCCCTCCGTTTTGCAGCCAGTTCACAACCACTTGTGGGGAGCATGTCCTTAGATGATCTCTGAAATGACCCTGGCTACCAGGGCCACAAGTCCTCCTCAAACTCTCCAGGATGTGGGCAGGCAAGGGGGAGGGGGCCAGAGTGCTCAAGTTCTCTACCAGAGGATACTGTCAGAGAGCCCAAGGCAGAGATGGTCCCTATGCCCCATGTTTCCATGGAAACATAGGAGGAGTGATGACAGCCAGCACAGCCACACCATCTGCTCGGGACCTGGTGAATGATGAAAAAAATAGAAAAAGAGTCACCTCAGATCCCAAGCTAGAACCACTCTGAGATACCAGTGCAGAGGCAAAGGCCTGAAGACACTAGAACTCCTAGGTGGATTAAAACCCAAGCTGTCCTGGGGCTCGACATATTAGCATGTAATTTGCAAGCAGAAAGCCTAGAGGGCTTATCCTGCATTCCCTAGATACAGTTAAAAACACTCAAGAAGCCTCTGGAAGGAGAAGCAAACTGTGATGTGACTGCAGCCTTGCTGGAACAGGAGAGAAGGTGCAGTGACAAACAGTGCTGCAGGACATGGGGTGGGGGCTCCCCTGACCTTCCAGCAAGACCGCTTGCACAGCTGGCTTTTAGCCAGGCGCATTTTTCTAGGAGTGCGGTGGGATTATGAAAGGAAAATTCCCATCCGGTCACAATCGTGACCTGAGTTGCATCCACATCTTCACAATAAGGTATGAATTAATAAAGGCTATGCAAGGTTTCTCTTCTCTCAGTTTGTATCCAGAAGGAGATCTTAGTTGGATGCCACAGATTTGCTTCTGGGTCTGTTTTGGAGACTTTTAATTCCAGGTTGGTGGAACGTGAGTGGGGCCCTTGCTGAGTGCACTTGTAGGCCTGCCCCAGACTGAGTAGGATTCATTTCTCAATCCCTTTGGTTCATACATTTAACTCAAAAAAATACCCCTGACCCAGAGCTCCTCCTTTAGCTAACTCTCCACAGTGGCTCTCCAGACTCCAGAGCTGGAGGGTTTCATTCAGCTCTCTGGAGCGTTATCTGCATCTATCCCAGGAGAAGAGTCCCTCAAGTCGCCAGGTCTTTAGTATGCACAGAAGCTTCATCTGCTTCAGAGGAAACACCAGTTTTTATTTTTATTTTTAATTTATGTAGCCCCTTCCTCCTTTACAAACAAAACAAAACAAAACAAAAATAAAAACAAAAAAACCCACACACCTCCCTTTTAGTTTTGGCATTCTAATCCCAGGAAGTCCAAACCTTTTTTTGTTTTTTATTAAGGATTTAAAATTTTGACAACTGGATTAAGCTCTTGTTTTGGTACGTGTATCTAGGGGCTGTAGGATAATGGCAACATCTTAATATACCAGATAAATAAAATAATAAAAAGATCACCTTATAAAGGCTCTCATTAACTGTTCTACATTTTACTTGTAAATACTATTAATTTAGATTTATTTCCATGACAACTTAGTAAACATGATATCCATCAGTATGGTTTGGGTTTCTTCAAAAGACCATATTCTCCAAGTGGACACTATACAGAAAAACATACACTGGAAATAAAAGTATTAACCCAACTTCCCCTGTGTTAGGAGGCCCCAAACAGAAAATAAGGGCTATTCCTGAAGAAAAATATTTAAATACCCACACTGAAGTTGCTTTAGGCTCAAGTACATTCATGTATTAACACAAGGCACTGTGTTGAAATTCAAATACAAATCTACCCATTACTATGTGGCTTTTGGGGAGAGGCCTTTTATGAGTAAACCACTCCACCAGCTCTATACCGCCCAGTGCTTTCTCTCTTTCCTTTTCCGGGGCCATCTATTTATCTTCAGCCTCCGTGGTGAGGGCAAGTCTGTATCTTAAGCTTCAAGCTTAGGATGGGACTCCCAGTAAACATGGTTCTGTTTGTTCTCCAGCAGCCCTCCTTTGTATAAACAGATGTGGTGGGAAGGGAAGGAAAGCCAGATCTCTGTGAGGGGTGGGAGGTCTCCTTTCTGGAGAAGCTTCCAAGCTGCAGCCATGAGCCCAGGGACAGGATGCATTTCTTGTTCAGGCAGGGGAACTTGCAGTTCTTCCAGAGAGGGGCTGTTCTTCTCACTCTCCTCCACCCTCCACCCCCATCCTTTGTTTCTGGGAATGCTGTCTGGATGTCTCCAGCATCTCACTTTTGCCAGAGCAAACAATTCCAACAAGGTTTATGCTGAGGAGATATTAGGAAGACATTTTTTCTCTTCTCTCCCAAATGCACGGTAGACTGGGATTTGGGAAGACAGCCCTTCACACCTGTACTTTCTCCTCTATTCACATTCTCTTTGTTCTTTCTGAGCCTTGTTACTACCTTCAACTAATGAGGGAGGTTTGTAGGGGCTGGGATTTGTCAGGTTGTAAAAAAACAAATCCATTTTCTCAAACTATGTGGATACGCTCTCTTAGTGTTTTACATTTTGCACACTAGTTGTGGATGCTAATAAAGGAAGGACTACTTCAGAGCTGGGGGAAGTACGGGGGTGCTGAGCATTTTGTAATAAGAACCCAGATAGGTAAGAATTCTCATTGGTCTTTTCTTCTACGTGTTCTCCAGACTTTGTTAATCCTCATTCAGAGGTCAGGGAGGTGAGGAGGCTTGATGGAGAGATCCTGTGACTTCTGCACAAGGGCTAGATTTCTGGTGGCTCCAGTCAGTGGTCCTTCTTGTTGAGAATGAACAAAGGGGAGCGTTTGGGAAAGGCCTCCCGTACTGCAGGGATTGGGGGTTCGGTGCAAGTGATGGGATATAACCACACTGCTCTGTACCAATCTCTCCAGGAATTCTCTGGAATCCTGAGTGAGGCTTTCAGAGCTGTGGCCAAGAGGATAAGAGAGGGAACTGAGGCAGGGTTCTGATTTTGGCCAGCAGTGGAGAAACAGAGCCATGGCCCTGATCTAGGCATGGACTTCTCAGCATGTCTGTAAAAGTAAGGGGGGGGGGTGGGGATTTCTTTACAATCAAGGAAATAATCATAAAAAGGACCAGATTTTTAGGAGGCACAATGATACTCTATCATCCTCCAGCTGACAGTATGCCACTCTCCAGATAGGAGATGGGGTGACAAGTTAGCAATCTACACCCAGAGGCCTGTCCCCCCCTCCCTATTCGAAAGATAAAGAAAGGAGGTTAGTTTCCAGGGACGGCCAGCCGGAGGATGGTGAGACCCCCACTGCAGGCCAAACTGCAGGTCCTGTCAGAAGAGGTTTCCTCCCTTTCACTTAACTTACTGACTCCAGATATTTTAAACGATTTGTTTACAGCGCGGCTGCAGGCAGCTCAGTTAACTCTCCCGGTGCCTGGGGCGGTCAGGGAATTTCCCAGCACCCCCTCCAGGGCTGCAAAGCACACCGCCCCCGGGGGCGCCTGGCAGGGTCGGGAGGAATTCTGGGCCCCAAGAGAAGTGCGTGCTGCCCCGGCAGGGCCGGGTGGGGCCGGGCGAGGGCGAGAGGCAGAAGATGCGGCAGGCCGGGCCCGGCTGTCTCAGCATCCCACTGCGCTCGGCACCAGCGCCTTTCCCTTCGCTCCGGCTCCCGGG